AATCAGTGGTGCCTGCTGTTCGGCATTAAATTTACAAACTGTGCAAGCCTGTGCCTTGGTCAAAAAAGTGTCATACTTTACCAGCTCCAGGTTCGGTTCAACTTTTCCAGTACTGGCTGGTTTCTCTGCTAGGTATTACTATACCAAATGGTCTCATCACCAACTACACATAAGCCCCATTTCGCCCAAATCATGAATCACTTATCATTTAATTATGTAACGGTATGTATTTTTTTACATATGTTTTAATTATTTATATACAGTCGTCACTTCCAGTTAACCTCGTAGTTTTATTTATTCAATTGTTTTATTACAATTTATATACATTTATTTCCTTAGGAACATTTTTTCGTATTTTTTCCAGTTTGTTATTTTTTCTTGTAGTCATTATTTTATTCAGCACTTTGTTGTCGAATATTTTGAAATCATGTTCATCTCTCGATAAGAAACATAGTTCTTTACAAAAAATAAATGTTTGGGTAATGTGTAAATAAAGTGTTTCAATAATCGGTTAGTTGGGAACTACAGTACAAATTAAAATAATATCCATGATGCCATCAAGGTGGGAAGGAATGTTTGACATGCTTAATTGTGTTCGATAAGATTCGTTTATCTCTGTTAAGAACACAAATATTACAACGTACAGAACTTGACATTCATTATTGGACCGCTTATTCAGCTGCTTAAATAAAATTTTCATCTTTGTAATCTATCTCTTTAATATACAATTTAATATTTTTCTGAATCCTCGCCTGCTTCTCCAAAGCGAATACATCTTAAGTTTCGCTTGCCCATATTTTTAAACATTCTATATAAACCGTTAAATTAACTTCTTTAAGTCTGAAACGAGATTTACAAAGTTTTCTTCACAGTTTGGTTGAGTGACACATTTTACTTTCGTAACTCTAAAAGGATATCTTAATATTGTCTTAAGTATATAACACGTCACATGACATTGCCTAAGGCGACGGTCTGTCGTAGTTTGTTTGGTATCTTACTGTATGAGGCACTTTAGCAAAAAGGTCTAATTCCGTGCATTAACCTATTATTTTACAAGTCTTATAGGACTAGGGGGAACATAATGTGTTAAACATTCGCAGACAGGCAGGGATTTGAAGAGTCATTAGTGTAATTTAAAATAACGTAAGAAAATTAAACTAGGCGTCTATTACTAAGCCAGTTACTGAAGTATGGTCTATTACACTCTGATGATCGCGTGACATAGGTTCCTCCAATACTGAAGTTCGAATACTATTAGACGCTAGGTTAGTTCTTTCATTATTTGCTCTGTTAAATTGTGACAATATGAAATTACGACAGATTTTAAACTCATTCCATTTGTATTAATAATAATCTTATTCTTCAATAATTTGGCCCTCTGTTGTCCTCAGTTTAGATTATTATTTTCCTCTGTCTTCTTGTTGGTTTGTGATGTTAAATTATCTTTGGAAGTCTGTTTTTGTCCATTCTTAATTTGTGTTGACGGCAAATTTTGTGTTTTTCTTCTGTTTCTGTTTCAGACTACAGATAAGCCAGTTTAAATATTTCCATATGTCTCAAACAAATTTCGTGGATTCTATTTAATTTCTTAACAGTAATCTATGAGTCGGCGTTTATTATTATTATTATTTGTCCTCGTATTTGTAATGTTTTACTTTCATTATTATTGAATTTAATTATTTATTATATCTTATCCTGTACTCTGGTTTAGTGCTTGGCTGTTATTGGCCTTATTTGGCTGTTGTCAAGCACTTAACTAAATGAATTGAATTGAATTATTATTATTTCTTTTTTCACATGTTATTTTATGTACCTCCCGGTTAGCATTTTCCCTTTTAACCCGATTTAGGAACTTACGGTACTCAGTTCATTTCGACACAAATCTGTAGTTAGTATACAACATACTTTCTAAGCTAGATTTTACCTTCAATAACGCTGTTTTGTTTCGTTTCGTTTCTCTATTTTCCAGTCATCGCCACTTTATTTTTAAGTAAAGTCGTTACTATTAATTATATTTTACTTGGGGTTTGCTCACTATTTGCACACATATACACATTACAATTTATCATGTTTGAGAACAAATGATCTTAACACTTTTGTATTTGACCTTTCTTGTTCGCTTATATATATTGGCTCAGGTCGCAGAATTCTTATTGAACTAAATGTCAAGTTAGTTAACTTACGTTCAACGAATGGGAGACTAGATAAAGTTACAAAATGAAGGGATTTTATTTTTGCTGTTGACGTAATGTTGTTAGTGACTAAATAAGAATGAGATTTGCAGGGAATATATTAAACGAAACGGGTATGCTTACAAAATTTTTGATTGAATATCTATAAAACGCAAGAGTACACCGACCACCTATATATAGATAAAACTTCAATGTTAAAACATTTTGCAGCAACATGCTATAAATGTGAGAAACGAATTTAAGTCAAATAAGTGGTCATTAGCAAGCTTTATATATAAGGTCATAAACCTCCAGTTCCTGTAAACGGAGGGACTTCCTTTATCGGTTGATTGACTGTCAGTTGAATATGGCTATCTAATATTGGCATAACATTCCCCTCTCTTCTTATAAAAATATCTGTTTTATAATTAGCGTTTATCAAAATCGATTCTTGGTAATGAAATCCATTATATTACAGGGGTTAGATGATCGTTTATCAACTTCAAGACGTGTTTTTGTGTAAGCAGACATTATATCGACTTTTTAGGATTTAAATTCTAATTTAAATACTTTTGGCAAGAAAACATGACTGACATTCTTCTGTCGAATGTTAGAAATTGTTACGTATTTCTATCCCTGAAATGTGACGACGTTTCTCTGCCAAAAAGATGACATTTTTTCGAGAAAACAGGATATTTTTTCTCTATTCTGTGCAATGTTGTACCCGGTAATTGGCGCTGCGTAGTTTTAATCCCAGGAGTATATGCTTCAGTCTCCAAACGAGACAGAACTCACCTCTTCGGGCAGTTACTTTCTTCATTGACGCCGAGAGGCGTTGCTTTGTAGATCGGAAACTTCCGCAGTTGACAGCGTACGCGTTCATTTTATTTTGATGCAATTAATGCAGAAAGTTTAGAACAATAGACACCTATACAAGATAGGTAAAAGGGGAAGGAACCATGAAATGTTTGCTACGATGGCTTACCTTTTAATGATGAGCGCAATTGTTTTACGGTTTTGGTGATGTTGGTAGCAGAACTGAAGTTTTAACGAGGACGCCTGTATTTTACGTTGAGTTGTTAATGCGGTAATTTATTTGAAATCTTTTTACATAAGAAATGGTGATCTCGTTTTAATTCGTGTTTTGGTTTGAATGCTGTATCTTTATCGTCTGGAGGTGTTGGTGTCATTCATGTGTTTGGATACAGCAGGTCGTTTAGAGACGTGTGTGCGTTCAGACACCGAAGAGCTCGCTGTCTTCTTCCGGAAGAGGAGGACGGTGAAGAAATGGACCCGCAGCAGTTGACAAAGACACAAAGATTCTGAAGGAGATTGAAAACAAAAGAACATGTACGGGCGTACATAAAAAACGTTGCTATGGGACAATGTTATATTGCGGCGGGGGAGGATGCGACGCGCTATGTTTGACATCACGGTTATGCTGCGATCTGATTGGACGAGAGAAGTTAAAATTTCGCTAGCGCATGCGTCCTTAATTATTGATCTGCCTGGTTGCGATCCAGGGGCCTGAAGGCCTAATGGAAGCAAGTGGGGGTGATGGCGGTAGCAGCGGCTGTACCGATCAGAGGGGAAGGGGAGGAGTGGTAGTGCCTCCTCCTTGCCTACTGGGCTTCGGTGCGGGAAAGAAGTTACTGGAGGACTGGTCCAGGGAAGATGTTGCGCTCTGCGTTGTTGTGTTAGCTGTGAGAGACACTCGGCTGACAGTGGTGGAAGGAAGGCGGGCAGGAAGGAAGAAGGCTTGTTGGAGATCAGCAACAAATAGGTCCAGAATCCGGAGGCTGGAAGAACAGTGGCACACCAATGTATTCAAAGAGCAGCAGGTGAAGACCCGCGCCATGGACTCTGTAGCAGCAGAAGCAGAAGGATGCCCTTCGGACCAAGGGCCTCCTCAGACAGCCATTCCCCGTTGGCTTCTCTTCGTCTGCATATGCATTTGTCTTCCACGCGGTAATGACGCTTTGATTAATCCCAGGAGTATATGCTTCAGTCTCCAAACGAGACAGAACTCACCTCTTCGGGCAGTTACTTTCTTCATTGACGCCGAGAGGCGTTGCTTTGTAGATCGGAAACTTCCGCAGTTGACAGCGTACGCGTTCATTTTATTTTGATGCAATTAATGCAGAAAGTTTAGAACAATAGACACCTATACAAGATAGGTAAAAGGGGAAGGAACCATGAAATGTTTGCTACGATGGCTTACCTTTTAATGATGAGCGCAATTGTTTTACGGTTTTGGTGATGTTGGTAGCAGAACTGAAGTTTTAACGAGGACGCCTGTATTTTACGTTGAGTTGTTAATGCGGTAATTTATTTGAAATCTTTTTACATAAGAAATGGTGATCTCGTTTTAATTCGTGTTTTGGTTTGAATGCTGTATCTTTATCGTCTGGAGGTGTTGGTGTCATTCATGTGTTTGGATACAGCAGGTCGTTTAGAGACGTGTGTGCGTTCAGACACCGAAGAGCTCGCTGTCTTCTTCCGGAAGAGGAGGACGGTGAAGAAATGGACCCGCAGCAGTTGACAAAGACACAAAGATTCTGAAGGAGATTGAAAACAAAAGAACATGTACGGGCGTACATAAAAAACGTTGCTATGGGACAATGTTATATTGCGGCGGGGGAGGATGCGACGCGCTATGTTTGACATCACGGTTATGCTGCGATCTGATTGGACGAGAGAAGTTAAAATTTCGCTAGCGCATGCGTCCTTAATTATTGATCTGCCTGGTTGCGATCCAGGGGCCTGAAGGCCTAATGGAAGCAAGTGGGGGTGATGGCGGTAGCAGCGGCTGTACCGATCAGAGGGGAAGGGGAGGAGTGGTAGTGCCTCCTCCTTGCCTACTGGGCTTCGGTGCGGGAAAGAAGTTACTGGAGGACTGGTCCAGGGAAGATGTTGCGCTCTGCGTTGTTGTGTTAGCTGTGAGAGACACTCGGCTGACAGTGGTGGAAGGAAGGCGGGCAGGAAGGAAGAAGGCTTGTTGGAGATCAGCAACAAATAGGTCCAGAATCCGGAGGCTGGAAGAACAGTGGCACACCAATGTATTCAAAGAGCAGCAGGTGAAGACCCGCGCCATGGACTCTGTAGCAGCAGAAGCAGAAGGATGCCCTTCGGACCAAGGGCCTCCTCAGACAGCCATTCCCCGTTGGCTTCTCTTCGTCTGCATATGCATTTGTCTTCCACGCGGTAATGACGCTTTGATTTTTTTCTGTTTTGGATTCAGTAAGGGGAAGGTGGATTTATGAAACACTTCAACATCTCTATGTTGTTAATCTAAATGATAATTTGAGACGCGTTGAGGTTTAGATATTGGACTGTGCTTCTGTCATAAAACCACATTTTTCAGCAATGTCAGACTCAAACGAGACGCCTCTTCGACTGTATTCGTCTTACAAGAGACAATTTTTGTCTTCCACGCGTAGACACATTTTAGATTGAGTGACGTCTTCTCTAGAATCGGTATGATTCAAGTACCGGAACAATTCAGTTGCATTAGGATATTTTTGTAGGTGACGTGACTGATTATGTTGTCTCAGCAGAACCTTGGTTTAAAATACTTGTACAAACATCTGTTTTGCAGTGGAAGCATATGAGATATTCACTTTATATACCTTCAATAAAACAAATTTCTACTTCTGGTAAAGTATGATTGTATTTGTGTTTCTGTAAATACATTTTGCCTTTCACGTTGTGAGGATTCGGTCGTCCTTCTACGCAGAACATTGTCGTTTCGCGTTTGTTCTATCGGAGAAGCGGTGAAGCAGAATGACCTGATTTCCAAAAACCTGCGCAGAAATTTTTACTAATAACGGAAAAAAACCCCGATACTTTTACATATTTCCTTTCAGCTGTCTATGGTGTAGATTAAAACCTGTTAATGTAGCGTATGTCAAAATATCCTTCATACATAAGTAAAAGGATAATTTTGAAGTCGTTACTATCTGTTATTTTCTGAATGCGGCATAATAACGTTATTTTATTTCATGTACTAAATAAACATCAGATCGAACGTAATAAAAGTACAATAACACATAATATAAAACAGCAAATGTATGCAAATATTTTCTCAAAAATGAAGTTTCTGGTCTCGTTCTTTAACGAACATATTTATTGAACCTTTCTTTAATGTTATTCTTGCAATTTGAATGTAATTATTGTTTTTGGTCTTAATATTAGTTTTAATTCTAAATAAAATAGTGTTTATTATCAAAACGTTTGGCGTCATCTGTTCTCAATATTCATCGCGTACCATAATCCTTTGTATCAATATTCTATTTTCGTTACGTCATCATTTTTATACCTTACGAAACTTTATGTCCATACAGATTAAGATACTTGATGTGTTTTACATTTATATTGAAAATAATTAATTTTAATACTAAGGCTGGTGTATTCGGCTGTGTCTCTAAACAATAGTTTCGCAACGTGCTTTCAGTATGCATCTGTTTAGATCCATTTTTGTTTAAATAGATTGGCAATGCACAGGAAATTAGTCACAGTAAGTTAAAATGTAGTAAGTTTTATATTAAATGTACTTTGGTTTTGAATACAGAATGTTACATTTAAAATTCAACGTCCTCTACAGTATTTTTTAGTTTCAGTTCTTAGGAAAGACTTAACAGAACGCTTTATAGCAGATTTTGTATTGTCATCTCGTGAGATTTATAACATGGATAAAATAGCGCTAACATTATTTGGCAAACAGCTAAAAGTTCTTAATGCGTTCTTGTATCCATATTCATAACAGATATTTATCACCTTCTCGAGGACACGCAGATTTTTCCTATGTCCCGAAACATTGTTGCCAGTCGGTGTATCGTCTTATTCGGTTACTCCTTGTTGGGATACGCATTGATAAATGCTTCGCGATCAGCAACAGACTATTTCGATGCGAATTAATGTTCCAGAATAAATAGACGGTCTGCTCGTGGATATATGATGTACACAACTTCAGGTTCTGCGCAACTGGCATGGGCAGCGGCCTAGCAACTAGGGTGACATTTTAATCGAGTGTCACGTGGTATGTTGGGAGGTTAAACTGTTTCTATTTTCATTTTTACCATGGTTCGTGATTGTTGGTTTGCGTTTTAAGTGTTACACTCTATATAACAATACAGCTTACAGCTCGTAAAACATCATAGAAGGTTTCTTATATGTAGTCCTCCCTTGTACACAGCGCATTCCTGTCGGCGCATATATTGTACTGTATGACGTGTGGACAGAGTGCAGAATGTCATGGAATTCGGAAGCTTGTCACTGTGGACATGAGTCTTTTGTAACAGGAGGAAAGCTATGTGGGGAGACGGTCACTAGGCAACCAGCTGAACAAAAGTTCTGAATTTCCTATTGTCTTACAGATCACAGTTACACATAAATAATCCTAAAAGAGTAAATGCTTGCATAAGCGTGATATATGAAGTTACAGTTTTCCAATCAATGACTTTAAATCGTACTTGTTTTGTGGTTCATTTTCATATTTTAGGGAAGTATTATCCAGTTACGTGATCTTACACTGACGACTATCAAAATGCAATAAAGATTGAATTACAGTCCTACAACGTTCTAGCTATGTTTATCCATTTATTGATTTTTTAAACTTGACATTTTATTTATGGAAAAGTATTAAGTTAAAACATATGGGAAACGGAAGTTTAAAAGAAGTACTTTGATCTCAAGCACATTACTAAGAACCAAATAATATATTTGAATATTTACAGCTTCTGAATTCCGTAACCACTTTCATAATTTTATACCTAAATGATTTATTAACATGAATATCAAATAGATTATAATTTATTACAAGGTAAAAATAAATTCACAATTGTCATACCTTAGTCCATAATTCAGTATTTGAATATATTTGTATTTTGTACTAAGTGTCGGTAAAAATGTTTTCAGTCGAAATCTGTCACTTTACTTCTGAACATATTTGACATTGACCTTGCATTTAATTAATAGTTTTGATTTGTTTCGGATCCGAGCTTCCGATACTTCGTACCTGTGGCTTGCTTTTGAAGGAAGAATATAATCATTCCTGCCCATTATATCGTTAGACGTAATCCAGTAATCTTTTAATCTGATGTACAGGCTTTGTCGTCCAATTGGATTATTTATGATTTATTTTGGAAACCTATAATATTTCACGGGTTCTCTCTAGTAATTTATTCAGCATTTGGTTTCCCTACTAATCTGTGGCTTAATCACCAGAGACATAATCATAATCGCCGTTAGGTCCTTGTCCCCAGCGGTCTCTTCCCTTCAGGTTTCCCAACCAGTACCCGGTGCACACCTCTTGTCCCATCCATGCGCGCTACATGTCCCGCCCATCTCACTCTTCTCGACTTAATCACCCTCACAATACTGGGGGAGCAGTACAGATTTTTAAGCTCGTCATTGTGCAGTTTTCTCCACGCCCCATCGTCTTCCCTCTTAGGCCCAAATATCCTCCTCAACACCCGATTCTCAAACACCTGCAATCTGTGTTCCTCCCTCTGAGTGAGAGACCATGTTTCGCACCCATACAAAACAACAGGCAAGATTATTGTTTTGTATCCTTTAATTTTCAGGTTCTTAGAAATCAGACGGGAAGACAAAATATTTTGGACTGAGAAGTAGCAAGCATTTCCGGCATTTAGTCTCCTCCTAACTTCCTCACAAGTATCATTTTGATTTGTTATTGTTGTTCCCAAATATTTGGACTTTGTAACCCTTTCAAAGGATTTATTAGCTACCCTAAGATAATTTTGCCCGCCTGTCTTCTGATGACGAGATACTAACATGTACTTAGTTTTTTCTGAATTTACTTCCAGCCCCACTTGTCTACCAGCCTCTAGTAAACCTTCTGCGTTCCTCTTTATTGTATTTATATCGTCCCCCAATAAATTAACATCATCAGCATATGCCAATAGCTGATGTGTCCCATTCAATTGCAAACCCTCCTGCCTACCTTGGACCTTCCTGATGGCGTATTCTAGCGCAAAGTTAAAGAGCAAGGGAGACAAAGCATTATATATATATACATATACATACACATACACACACTCAGTGAGCATTTGAAGTGTTAAATAATTCCTTCACACACATCTAAGACACGTGTAAACTGTTCATATTGATTGACGCATTACGGTTTGAGGCAACTGGAATTTCCTCCGAGAATCCTCTGATAACCTGTAATTCTGTTGAGACATTTGTGTCTGTGTGCCGCGGACTTTCTCATTATTTCCTTCCTGTATAATTGTAATGTTGCTGGATGTATTTATGCAGCTTAAGGCTACAAGCATTTCGTAATTCCTAAGATAATGCTAATGGGCGAAGTTTATTGCCAAAGGAACATCTCAAGATAGATGATTTATTTACTGTCATGATAAAACTGCATTTCCTTGTGTTATGAATGTTGTGTTTCACACTGACATCTTACGAATCCGCACGTAATTAATTGATTAAGGTCGGTTATTCTCTTTACATAGAATATCACTTTAGTTTGTGGATGAACATTTCATTTCTATTGATCGAGGTGACACATCCTTTGCTTAGAGAATGCTAAAAAATTTGTGATTTTATACTTTTTCGCGTTAGATTTTGTCGTCCATTAAGTCTCGTATGTTACTTTCCATGGCTTATTTAATTCGTTCATAATTATTGAATTCAAATCTGCGTGGAATGTGGCACTGTTGAAATTAAGATATATAGCCTCAGTTGTACTTAAAGCGAAACATACTATAACGAGAGTATGCCCAAGGATGTATTCTAGGCATACTATCTACCAGGAACATTACCTAAGTATTTTAATATAGGCCTTCGTAGAAACAAAATAATGGTACAAATTAATGGTTTGTTTATTTTAAACGACATTAGTTCGAGAGTTGTGAATTTAATTTAATTATTCTTAAAACAGAAACACACAGATCAACTATACACAGCGATACTTAGAATTCTTCTAGATATGAGTTTAACGGTTCGTAAAATATATTTTGGATTTTAATAACTCAGAATAAGGTTATGGTGTGTGTATGAGATTAAAATTCTATGTTTACTAAGGCATACAAGAACGTCAGTAGATCTTGTGCATTATGGTTGAATAAAATGTATAAGAAAGTCTGTTGCCTGTGATACACCAAAAGTAATGAACACGGTGATACAACAAAAATACAGCTATTCGAATCATATCCGGTTTCAAGATGGCTGTC